TGGAAGGCCGCCTCAGCATCCGGCCCCCATTCAAACCTTGCCTTCTTCTTAATGGCCTGGAAGAAGTATAAGCATTTGTCGCCTGATCGGCTTAGAAATCTTCCCAAGGCCGCCAGAAAACCTGTTAACTTCTGAACCTCTCGGACGATACGAGGCGACTGCATGTCGATGACCGCCTGCACCTTCTCAGGGTTCGCCTCTATTCCTCTCTGATTGATAAGGAATCCGAGAAATTTCCCAGACTCAACTCCAAATACACATTTCTTGGGATTGAGCATGACATGGTGCCGCCTGAGTGTGGCGAAAGTTTCTCGGAGGTCCGACAGATGATTTATCTGAAGCTTAGACTTGACAATCATATCATCAATGTATGCCTTGACGTTTCTCCCAATCTGATCAAAGAACACAGTGTTTATCATTCGCTGGAAGGTGGCCGGGGCATTCTTAAGACCAAACGGCATGACCGTGTAACAGTATAACCCTTTATCAGTGACGAAGGTCGTCTTCTCCTGATCTTTCTTCCATAAAGGAATTTGATGGAAACCAGAGTAGGCGTCCATAAAACTCATAAAAGCATGGCCGGCTGTTGAGTCAACCAGGTTATCAATTTTAGGCAGAGGGTAACTGTCTTTGGGGCACGCCTTGTTTAAGTCTGTGTAGTCTACACACATTCGCCAGGTGCCATTCGGCTTTTTAACAAGCACCACATTTGCAACCTAGTCTGGGAAGTAACATTGCCGAATGAACCCTGCATCAAGTAATTTTTTAACTTTGGCGGCTGCCGCCTGACTTCTTTCTTCGCCATGGTTCCGTTTCTTCTGCCTTACCGGCTTCTTTTTCGGATCCACAACCAGTTTATGTACTGCAAGGTCAAGACTAATGCCTGGCATTTCGTGGACTTCGAATGCAAAGATGTCCTTGTATTCTTTCAATAGTTTGTGAAAATCGTCACCCAGGACTCTCAGAGCAGTTGTCCCAACTTTGACTGTTCGCTCAGGACGTGAGTCGTCTAAGATCAAGTCCGTATGCTCACCAGCCGGCTGAGGGCGGAATTCATCCGACCGCTCCTCTGCCAATGATTGCTATTTTCTGTCCTTTCTTGCGGCCCCTGTCTGGGCTGCCTTTCTCTTCTTGCCGCTTGCTTCTTTAACAGGCGCACACTCCTTGACATTGTCAAGGTCTGTTTTTCCACCACTTGACCCAGCGGCCATAACAGTGGGCTTGATATCCGAGAGATAGCACTCTCGGGCCATCCTTTGATCTCCCCTTAGGGACCGGACTGTTCCATTATCCCTCTCAAACTTGAGCAACATAAGAGATGGGATTATAACAGCCTTGGAATTATTTAGGGTTGGACGTCCCAGAATCATGTTGTAGGCCAAGAGTTCTTCTACTACCAGGAACCGGACTACCATGTGTCGTCCTTCCCCTTTTTCACCCAAGCGGATGGGTAAATCCACTCGTCCCACTGGGTGGACGACTCCTCCTCAAAACCCTACTAAAGGGTGGGATGCCGGATGTATGCAATCAGTCTGATATTTTAGTTTTGACAGACATTTGCTACTGATAAGATCTGAGGAGCTTCCAGTATCTATAAGGATTCGGCCAACTCTTTGGTTGGCCACTTTACATTCAATAACGATAGGGTCGTCATGCGGCCCCCTTACCCCTCCTAGATCTTCTTCAGTGATGACAATCTCAGGAAATGAATATTTGGGGGGTCGTTCTTGGTGAACGGAGTTTACATCTAGCCGCCTGATATTGTTTTTGTTGCCCCTAATAGTGGGACCGCCTCCTGCGAAGCCGCCTGCAATGGTGTAGACGACTGCATCATCTGTATCAGAGTTGTCGGCCTGTTGACTCTTTTTGGCCGACTGCTTTTTCGAGGAAGTGTTCCCCGTAGATTTCTTGACATAAGAGTCAAGATCGCCTTGCTCAGCCAGGCGGTCCAGATACCGCATGAGACTGATGCATTCGTTGGTGTGATGACCAACATCTTCATGATAATCACAGAATTTTTCTTGGTTCCGGTTGCTTGCAGAACCCTTCATGGGGACCGACTTCTCAATTGAGATTCGTCCCTTGATTTCCTTTAGGATAGTTTGGCTATCCTTGTTAAACGCATACTTTGGGGAGTATGGTTTGAATTCTTTTTTCTTCTTCTGGGCCGGCTGTTTAGAGGAATCAGCCTCCCAGACCTCTTTTCTTTTCTTCTCATCTTTGTTCGACAATTGTTTCTGTCGTCCTTCTTTTTTGTCGAACCTTTTCCCGTCCGACTGTTTTGTACTACAAAGATCAGTCGCCTGTATATAGGCTTCCGCTTCAATCAAGGCCTCTTGAAGAGTCGCCACCCTCTTTCGGACCAAATCAAATTTGAATGTCGATCCGTCTTTGAGGCCTCTGAAAAAGTCAGTATAGGCTACCTCATCCGGTAACCCTTGAATCTGTATTCTCATCAGGTTAAACCGCCTGATGTAAGAACGAAGCCCCTCCTTCTCGCCCTGCTGAATCGTTCCTAAATCAAGGGTCGTCTTTTTCGCAGGTATGTTCATGGCAAAATTGGAGGTGAATAAGTAAGCAAGCGTCCTGAAGTTATTCACACAACCAGTCGGCAGGTTGCCGAACCATTGTTGTGCGATTCCTTTGAGAGTCGTTGGGAAACACTTGCACCAAGTGGGATCATCCAACCCTTGAAGGTACATTAGGTTGGTGAATGCCATCAAATGGTCTTCTGGGTTAGTAGTGCCGTCATAGGCGCCTACTAATACATTTTTCACTTTGGCCGGCTGAGCGGCTTCAGCAATTTCCTTGGAGAAGGCCGACGGCTGTTCCCCAAGTCTAAGCAACCGTAGCTGCCAGTCCATAGGTTGGACATTCTTTGTTGCATGCCCACCAAACAGAGGTGGCTGCAAAAAATATTGTTGTTGCGGTACAAATGGTAAATTTGGTACCGCCTGGTCACTATGAAAGCCGGACTGACAGGAGGTGCCGCCTAACTGACTCTCATGATACGACTGAGTATACTTCATCGAGGTATTGCGTAGACTGTCTTGGAAGTCGGAAGTAGAGGCCGACTCTGACAATCGGTCATTCTTCTTCTGTTCTAGCAATAGCCGAGCATCTGTGTATGTTTTCTTCGACCCGTCCGCCTGAATATGACGAACAGGTTTCCTCTTTCCTGGAGTAGGAAAGCGGTACTTTGTGAAATCAAGGGCAGGCGGCTCCCACTTCCTAGAGTTAGGATGAAGGGTCGCCTCTCGCCCTTGAACTGGCTTCCTCTTCCCTGAAGTGGAAGGTTTCTTAGCCGACTGCTCCTTGGCCAGAGCAGGCTTCTTGTTGAGCAACTCTTGAATCTCTCCCTTGAAGCCCCTCATGAAGGTCATGAGTTCGTTTCTTGTAACGGGAGCAGACCCATCAGCCGGCTGCTGCTGAACAGGCGGTGCGCCGGCTGGATCACTGACTCCAGTTTGAAGATGCTCTCGTTCCCTCCTTTCGGTATGACGGGTGCGTCGGGCCCTTAGGGTCCTGTCTGAAGCTGTGTGAGCTTCAACTTCAAATTCTTCCTCAGTATCATGGTCCGACTGAACTTGAGGGTCGTCTAGGGGACGCCTCTCTTCAGGAGTCGGTACAGACGTGGATGCCATCTCAGAAGTACTCTCCCCACAGACGGCGCCAAGATGTTTCGGGGTTTTCTGATGTCCTGCGGGAGAGTTACAATTCCGAGACTGGAACCGGACGCCTGTACCTGCAAAACAAACGGATGCTCCGGATGATTGGAGATCCGCCTCCGACGGTCAAGTTAGTACTTGATTAAGGAGTAATTAATGCGGAAATAAAAGTGATTGGGTCTCTCTAGGTGAGAGTGTTAAATGTGCGTAATCCCCCTTAATGAGGATTAAGGGAGGTATTTATAACCTTGGGAAACGTGCCAATCCTAGGTTTAGGTTAACCTAGGGCTGATTGGGCTTCCCTTGGAAGTTGGGCCTAGGTGGCCGGTTTCTCCATTAGGCATGGAGGATGTCACGTGTCATGACATAATAGGTCCAGGGTGGACAAATAGGCGTGTGCCACGTGGCAAACCCTGACAGTTCCAACTGGTGGACACTTGGCAGGACCTGATTGGCCCACGTGGCGCATTCCGATTGGTGGGAGCAAAATCCCCTAATCAGATTCCATAGGACCAAAATGCCCCCCAAAGCCCCTATATAAGATGTGTTTGGTACAAAAATCGAAGAATTTAAAATATTCCGTTAGGTTTTTGACGACAGGTGGTAAAAAACAATTTTTAATTTTTTTTTTTGTGGTAAAATAAAACTTTTAAAATTTTTGGTAGTAAAAAATAATTTCATGATTTTTTTTGTGGTAAAAGTCAAAAAAATCCTTTAGGATTCGAATTTTTTTTTGTACTTTTACAGGTGATCAATTATTTAGGGTGACTCACAAGTTTAGAAATCCTGGATCTGCCACTGCTTGTAATCACACTTAATAAGATAATTATTAATCTTTTTTAGGGCTAATATGATTATAATTCAAGTGATCGTCAATAATAGATTTATTTGTGCATTAATCACTAGTAGAAAAAATGCTATTTGTAACTGGCGAAATTGACTTTTTGTAACTGGCATTGTTGGTTGCGAATGTCACCGTTACAACTCTTGAAAACTATTTGTAACCGCCTAATGTTAGTTACAAATGATGTACTATTCGTAATTGGATTAACCTTACGCCAGTTACAAATAAGCTATTTTCCAAGTTAAAAAGCATACTATTTGTAACTGGCGTTAAGTTATGCCGGTTACAAATAAAGCATTATTTGTAACTGGCATAGCTTAACGCCAGTTATGCCAGTTACGAAAAGTGTTTTTATTTTTTTTAAAAAAAAATGGTAGCAGTAGCAAATTCCTCTACTGCCACCATCCGTACACTACATTTATATATATATTTATATTTTTTTTAATGTAAAGACCATTAATTGTTAATAACTATCAATCTAACCAATATAAGACCAACTTTAAGCGACATCTTGTAAATTATACTGAATTGATGTACTTGTAAATTACAAATATTTCTCTCACAATTCACACTAAATAATACTCTATAACTAAAAAAAGAAAACTAGTTAGTTAATTGATACAATGGTCAATCTTCAAATTTTGACGATTTTGTCGATTTTGTCTCCGTCTGCTTCACAAATTTGACTGTTCTGTATGGGATTGTAGCAAGTTCACACTGAGCACTTGATATTACGACAGAATTCTGCATGGGAAAGAAATATATACATAAACAAAAGCCAAAATTAAAAAAGGGTTGTTTCAGACAGTCACCAAGTGAACTCTACCAACATGGTCAATGCATCAAACTGAGGGTATATAAAAAAAATAAGCAACAAAACTGAGGGAGACTATTCACGTAACATCAAACATTGACATACACTTAGGAAAGTCATTCTTTGCAAAATTATTTAATTAACTTGATGAATCTAAGTGCCTAAACTAGCTCAAAACTCTAGTGAACTCCAACCTGAACATTGTATGTAATAAAAACAAATTATCTTTATAGCGTTTGATTAACAAGGACTGTCCCCTTAACAGCATAACCTTTGTAAAATAAACAGAACTGCATCAACAAAGGCTGGAAAAAAGAAGATAGCAAATTCAAGTTATATGAATAAATAGCATAAAAATATTTTCTCGTGTAAGATTATAAAAGGCAGGTGTAACAGTTCAGCAAATTGTGAAGAAAGCATATTGAGCTCGAAACTACGGACATCATTTATCTGGAGAGATAGAATGAGAGAACAAGAATGCAATACATATCAGGGAAGAATACAAGACTAGCCCCTGAAAAATTGCAAATATTACATCAATAAATTGCATATGAACACCCCCCTCCCCCAAATAAAAAAAGGATAGGCTAAACCATTCATAACCATGCCAATACCATTCAAATTGTATATAGCAGCATTTTACAAAATGTCAAGGCATATAACAAAGTAACAGCACATAACATGAAAATTACTATGCTTCTTGAGAGTTTCTATGATCTTAGAGAATTTCAAAGAGACAAGATAAACTAATAAACTTATGGCCAGCAACCAACACCCTATAATTCAAGCATCAAAGAAAAGAATAAGAGTAAGCTCTCCATATAGTTTTTCTTAGGTCCTTGTAATTTTGCAAAAGCCTCATGACTTATAGATCCTTCTATCATGATAAGTTGATGACAGTTATATTGGAATTGAAACAAAAAAAACCATAAAGCTAACATGTCATTCTAAGCTTAAACACAACACCTGATCTGTACATTTTATGCAGTTGTTTTTACATAGGAAATAAAATACTGAAGAGTATGATTTGATAGCAATCCTTCACCGCATAAACTACAGTAAATTTGGACTTTAAAATGACAAAAGAATACCTTAAGAGTTATGGTCACTCATCAATTTAGCCTTACAACTATTCCAAGAAAACCCGCAAACTAGGTCCTCAGATATGAAGCCAGTTCCACAAAATAGGAGCATTCAATAACCGCAATTAACTTGCACAATTACTACACAGTACACAAATATAGCAATCATACAGGCGGGCTTCAAAATTCAAAATGAAGCTCCAAGGTCATAAAACAAGTACAATAACAATAAAAGAAGACACCAAGGAAATACATGAATCTGCTTCAAAGCAGGGCAAACACTTTCAGTTCAAAAAGTAAAGAAGCTATAGATGAAAAATAAGAGGGAAAAAAACGGACCTTGGTCAAGAGACCGTCCTGCTAGCTTGTAATTGCTGTCAGTATGGCTCTTTGCTACCACATGCTCATCAGTCCAAAAAATATACCACTTAACCCAATCAATAGTTTTGTTATAAGGCGCTTTCAACAAGTTTTCTGTTTTGGCACAAAATTATATACACAAATAATTAACCAAAAGGCATGAATAATGTAAAATATAAGCAATGAATAGATTGAATACCCCAATAAGCCAATGAGAGAACCACCAGATAAAGCAATGATAAAAACGCCCCGCTCTTTTACTGATGCATCTGATAATTAAGATATATATTCTACCAAGTCGGTGCTTAGATCATCTAAACTCTCATGAATCCTTAACTCTCCTCTACTCGTCTAAACTCAAGGAAACACCATGCTTTCCTTTACACAACAAATTTGATGAACAAGTTCTGTTTCAACAAGAAGATAAACTCTTTAGTTTTAATCAACATACATGAAAATTCAAGTAATACACCTAATATACAACAATGCAACTATACATGAAAAACAATAATCTTAATTTTTTTTTATTTTTTTTTTTTTGTAGATTAAGTTCAAAAAACAGAAATTTAAATCTAAATTTGCATTGTAACAAAAGTACTACGTAGACAAAATTAGGAGAAACTCAACCAAATACAAATGAAACAAAAAAGTCACTCCCATTACTATATATAAATCGTAATTGTTGGTTTGTATGAATGCCCAAATGCAATGCATTAAACAATATCCAATTTCTTAATTGTTAGTTAATTTATCAATCAATTTAAAATTCATAAAACCAGGAAATAATTACAAAGGATACATTGAGCTATACCTTATTTAACTTCTCAATAAATCATCTCGCTGCGGACCCACCCTTAGATAACCCCCCTGCAACGGCGGCAAGCCAAGTACGCCACCCAGCAGCAACGTGCTCTTCTGCTACATACAACGATTTCGGAATCATCCCACTACTCGCCAATGATGGTGAGGAATTACAAATTCCGGTTTCTCTCTCTTGCGATCGAACCCCTTGCCCCCAATCTGCTACTACGAAGCCAAATTTGAAAGAATCACATAATGAAACCCCTAAACACCCATTAAATTAAATTAAAAAAAAAAGGCGAAAACAAACCCTAAAATTTCATATTTTTATTTCTTGAATAATCGGTTAGATCAGAATTAATTAAAATATAAATAAATTAGGAGGAGATCGAGGGCGTACCTTGTTGATAACTTCCATGATTGAGTTTGGAGGAGCTTCATAGCAGTTTTGGAGGAGTAGAGCAGTTTCAGAGGAAATGATCCGTCAAAATACATTACATTCAGAAAATCACATATTCACAAATGAATGAACTCACAATTTCAATTAACAATTAAAAAAAATAGATTAATTAAAAACTAAACCTGGAGACTAGAGTTTTGCTTTGTCGAAGAGAGAGAACTCAGAGAAGGCTAAAGGCAAGCAGGCAAACACCGGTCGGCCGTCGGCGGAGTGCGGCCAACGTCGATCTGAGAGCAGCGCCGGTCCTTGAATGAGAGTGAGGGGGGAGGAAGTCAGTAAGAAGTTAGGGTTCTTCAATGTTTTCTTTCTGTAAAATTGGGAATAAGTAAAAACCAAAAAAAAAAAAAGTAAATAAAGGTGTGTAGGCAAAAGAAGCGCAGACTAGTAGGCAAGTACCAACTATTTTTTTTTAAACTAATTTTTTTTGTTTAAAATTTAAAAAAAAAAATACAAGTGAAGCGTGAGTGGTGGGCGCTAATATTAGTAACTGGCCTTAATAAAGCCCCTTACAATTAATAAGGTCTATAAAGTTTCACTTATTATTTGTAACTGATATTTTTTATGCTCCTTACTAAAAGTTGGTCAGCCTATCATTGACCTACTCTTTGTAAATGACCTTGGTTATGCTAGTTACTAATACTAGTTTATTTGTAACCCGCATTATCTATGTCAGTTACTAATACTCTTTTTGTAACTAACATAATTTATGTCAGTTACCACTAGGGCGTTACAAATAGCACTTTTTCTACTAGTGAATATTCAACCAACATAGATTAAACAGGTTTAGGGTAAATCTATTGATTGCATGTTAGTCAGAAAGCGCACATGAATGCGAGTAGAATAAAGTAGAGGCCTATTATTAGGGCAGGTTCTTTTTCTTTTAGATTGGATTTGTACCCTCATCCCCGAACTTCCAGTCATGGTTCCAGACCTATTGGAGTTAACGATCTCTTGGATCGTTAAGGGGTGTAACCTTCACCCTGTGAACGGTTTACAAGTTCCTAAAACTTGTTGGCGACTCTTTTGCTCTAGATTCCTTCTCTTTGGACGTCATCATGCTTAAGTATATGATCACAGTGGGGTTCAAGTTTGAGGTAATGCTTGAAATATTCCCTACAATAAGACAACTAAAATTTTTAATAAGGGTAAATAGAACATATACATCTTTAAAGTTTTATTTTAACATCAATAAGACAACTGAAAATTGGTTTTCACCACAAATAAAAAAAAAAATTGAGTGGGGTTCACCATATCCACGTGTCATCAATATATTAGGTTCACAAAAGAAAAAAAAATTAAAAGAAATTAAAATATTTTTTTAACAAACAATTTTTTTTTTAAAAAAAAAACCCCACCGCCATCCCTCTTCCCGAGCCGCAAAACAAATCCTTCCTCGACCCTCGACCACTCCCGACCTCATAAAACCACCCGTTCTATTTCCTTCACCTTTAAAACAGCCGAAAATTAGTTGACTTTGGCTGTTGATTTTACCGTTTTGTAGTGAGGGAAAAGAATTGGTGATTTTAGTAGTAAAAAGGCTTGTTTTGAAAAAAATAGGAGTGAAAGGTTAGCTTGTTCCCAGATTATGCAAAGGTTGACTGATTGGCAAAAACTCCACCTCACCTCACCTCACCTCCCCACCCCACCTTTGTTTGCTTAATGTTATATCTTCCAATCCTAATCCCTAAAATGGTGAAATATGTTCATCATTAATTCTCTGAATAATTTCAAGCATCTCACGCTTGAGCCCCACTGTGATCATACACTTAAGCATGGTGGCATTTAAAGTTAAGGAAGCTAGAGCAAAAGAGTCGCCAACAAGTTTTAGGAACTTGTAAACCGTTCATAGGGTGAAGGGTTACACCCCTTCACGATCCATGAGATCGCTAACTCCATAGTGGTCTGGAACCATGACTGGATATTCGGGGATGAAGGTACAAATCCAACCTAAAAGAGCTTGAACCTGCCTTAAAATAGGCCTCTACTTTATTCTTCTCATATTCATGTGCGCTTTATGGCTAACATACAATCAATATATAATCCTAAACCTGTTTAATCTATGTTGTTTGAATATTAATGCACAAACAAAACTATTATTGGCGTTCACTTGAATTATAATCACATTATCCTAAACAAGATTATTAATTATCTTATTAAGCATGATTACAAGTACAAATTCTCTTTAAACATGCAAGAGAGGACGTGATCAAGCAATAACAATAACATATCAAGTAACAATAATAACAATCATCGTCATAATAATAATCTCAATAAAGGATATAATATTAGCAAGATCCTAGGCATGATACTAACATGATTAATAATAAATCCTAGCATGTCATTAAACAATAAATATCAGAGCTTTATTCCTAACATGATACCTACACGATATAAAAAAGAATAGGAAGCAACCTAAACATGATACTAGAAAGCAATAAATAACATCTTAACATGATACTAGGAATTAAAATAATGTAAGCATGATTTCTATATCAAAAGAGTAATTAAATAATTAAATTACTTACTTCGAGGCCTCGTATCTCTTTCTAATAACAAATACACACGTTGGTAACTTCAAGGAAAATATTAAACAATTAAATTAAATAATTGAAATAGGGATTTGGGACCAAACCCTAAAAATTATCAACCTTTCACGTCTAGGGCGAAGGTAACTTTGAACTTGGCTTGGTGTGTCTAGAACTCGTGAATGCGGAATTTTGTAAAAGGGAGGGTTTAGAAAGAGGGAGAAGAATAAGCTATTGCTTGAGAGAATTAATGATGATGATTCTTGATGATTGTCGATGATTAAAAAAGGGAAAATAAGACTCTATTTATAGAGAATATAGTCTGAAAATGATAGAAAAGAATTAGAATTTGAATCGGAATAAAACAGACTCCTGTCGCTGGCGACAGAGCCCAACGTGAAACGACAAGCATCACGTTTAGCGATAGACTTGTCGTTTGACAATAATTAAAAGATAAAACGCGCTTTTGTACGAAATCCTTTTCCTAATATAATTAAGCAATTAAACTCTGTGCTTATCCATTTTAAATTAGATTTTATCATAAATAAACGCTTGTTTTATTTCAAACCAAATCCTTATTTTCTAAAAAGATAATTACCAATCCTAACTTCATTAGAATTTAAAATAACCTTCTAGATTATTCTAGAAAATTAGAATCAATCCTAATAATTTCATGAATAATAATTAATGGGCCCTCCACTAGATCATTGGGCCATAAAACCATTTCAGACCCAATTTAGTATTTCGGCCATAACTTCTTCATTATTCATCGGAATTGGGCTCATAATATATCATTGGAAAACTATTTGCGAGTCCGATCCAACTACACTATTATTGGACCCTTGTTATGGACCAAGATAAATTGGACTGGCTTTCTTCATAAATAGAGTAGATTTTTTAAAACGACCGTATCACAAGACTTTTCACACTTTCACTTCGTTCAATAATCAAGTGATGTGAAAAGTATTCATCACTGGGTTTGATTTTTTGGAAAGACACAATTAGGTATCTACACGTACACATATTAAAGTTGAGTAAAATTACACAATTAGATGAGATTAGGAAAAATAACAGTTTAGATTCGATAAGCTAAGCAAAAATAAAGAGAACTAAATAAGCGCTTATATACTATTCACATATTCTCTTTCATTTGATTTTTTTACTATTATAAAATGAGTAAATGATACTCCATATTATGTAAAATATCATCAGATTAATTACAATGTATGTTTTCATAATTAAATTAAATGTTCACAATTTTTACTACTCCTTCCGTGTGTTTAATACTTCCTCCATTCTTTTTTACTTGACCCGTTTTGACTTTTACACTATTCACCACCTCTCCTTTGACCGTCTTTTGTGAATGATATGTAAGTAAAAATATATTCATATGACATCTTTTTTAATTTGTCTCAATAAGTACTATCGTAATATACAAATTTTATAATTTTTACTTATGAAGAATTAAAGTTATTGATCACTAAAGTTTTGCATTGGCAAGCATAATAAAAGAAATAGGTCAAGTAAAAAAGAACAGAGGAAGTAAGTGTTACCTTTCTTTTTGGCAAAAAGCTAGTACATTTTAATATTATATCTTTCTATTTTCATGATCCCCATGACCCCACCCAACTCCACTCCTACTTTTTTTTTTTTAAATACTTGTATTATTTTTTCCCGTCACATTCTTTACTTTTCTATAAACTACTAACCCCACTATCTTTTTATTATAATTTTTTTAAGGAAAAATTAGAAATAATAATCCCAACTTTCATCAATTTTGGTAGAATAATCCCAACTTTGAATTATACTGGAATAATCCGAAATTTAGGGGGTCTTATTTTTCTTCAATCCCTAGCCGGACAACAAAAGTCAATGACTTATTATATCAGGTCACTTGACATGTGTCAAGCCCTGATTGGTCCAAAAAAAACAAATAATTTGAAAACCTAGCCGACCTCCCCTCCCCCACTGTGCCCTTCCCCTTCCCTCACCATCATAGCCAGACCGCCACCTCTCCCCTCGTCGGACTGCCGCCTATCCCCACCCCTAGCGTCGTCGTATTCCCCCTCCCCGAAACCCCTTCCTATTCCCCCACGCAACCACTGAAAGCCAAAGTTCCCAGCCACCGAAATCCCAAAACCCAGCCACCGAAACCCCAAAATCGCAGCCACCGATTCCTCAAATCGCAAATTTGAGGGAGTTTCGCAAAATCAGGGGTGGGTTAAGTGTTTTCGGGATTAGGGGAGGGGTTTCAGGTGAGTTTCGTGACCGGTTTGCCAGCGGTGTTTGTGGCTGCGAGAATAGAGAGGAGAGAGAAAATGAAAAGGGGTTATGTTTGGCCGAATTTCGTGGTTGGGACTAGATTTCGTGCGTGGTGGCCGGATTACGTGGCTAGTAGCTGAGTTTCGCTGCTGGTGGTCAGGTTTCTTGGCTGGCCGGATTACATGGATGGTGGGCGGCATCCGTGATTGGTGGTCTGCTTCAAGGGTCTTTTGATTTATTTTTTTTAATTTTTATTAATTTTTTTTAACCAATTAATTTGCAACACGTGTTACTTTAACCAATAATTTTTTTTAACTCATTCAACCGGTAATGGGTAATTGGGGTTGAAGAAAAAGAACAACCCCTAAAATTCGGATTATTCTAGAATAATCTAAAGTTGGGATTATTCTAGCAAAATTGATAAAAGTTGGGATTATTATTTCTAATTTTTCCTTTTTTTAATACTCCAACTAATTAGTGTCAATTAAATATCTCTAAACTATATACCGGTCAAAGTGTAACACTTATTAATGAACTAAAATTATGCCCTATTTACTTCACCTCAAAAAAATAATATTAAGTAAAAATTATTTCAATTCAGTAAAATAAG